ATGAATAAACCATAAGGGATCATTTATTGTAGTTTAGGAGTTGTATATATCTTTTCTTTCGCCCCTAAGAAACATACTAAAGTGTAGTTTCTTGTTTAATTTTCGACGTCCTTACTGAATGTATGTTACAATTTAATTATACCACTATATGGTACTAAATAAACAAGTTATATTATATAAAAATAAATTGTACTTATTTTTAAATACCTATAGTCACTATAGATTGGCAAAATGCGACCAATCCTTTCGAATGTACACCGTATGTATGCATACATTTGTATCACGTAAAATAACAATATGCAAACAACTGTAGACGAGAAAATATTAATTAATCATAGAAACTCAGCATTCCAACCAAAGAAGATGAATAGCAAAAACTATAATGTTATTAGAATAACACAATATAAACTTCGCAAGCAGTCAGGGCGGAGCCCTAGGACTGTTTAAAAATAAAACTTACTATGCCCATCAACCCAGTATTGGCTCTATTTATGAAACAAAAAACAGCTCCAATTGGTCAAGTAGTTTTCACGTTATTGACATACTCCAGACTTTCAAATCTAATGTTCACACTGTGTTAGTTCCTTCCATCCAAGTCATTGACTTGAATTACTTGATCAGTAATGTAGGGCCTACCCAAAGTATTAACCGGCAACTGGGTTTTCATATATTATTTTTAAGGAAAACAAACATACGTACAATACCTTTTTATAAACATTTTGTAAAACAGACAGTCAATAAGACGATACACTTAAAAATAAATCCACCACGAATAACAAACATTGTTTATTAAATTACAAACAGAAACATAACTGTAAAGTGTAAACAATACTACTTTAACAGTTCTCGTGTGTGGTGTATAACAGCTTTGGTTGCTCTTTAGTTTAAATTAGTCTATTGTATATAGTTGCATGTCTTTTTTTGCTATATATTTACATTATTATTAGTAAGTGGAATATTCATATAATAACACCATTGTAACTATAATGCCTGCAGTACACTATCGCCGAATGTAGGCGAACTAAGACGAACGCGATAGTGTACACGGTGTGCTCTGTACATTCGGGGTAGTTCGCATCGCCAACATTCGTGTTCGGGTGCGCTCGATTTTTTGGCGGTCTCTCGTCACGAATCAAAGGAGACGAACTAGGACGAATTAGTGTTTGGTATCGATATCCGATATATCGGAAATATCGATATTTTGGTTCCGATATATCGATATTTTTATATCGATATTAGACTTCCGATATTATTGGGATATCGATATTTTACTTCGATATTATCGTTAGAATTGATTTTAGCAATTTTTCAAAGAATAATGCAAGAATAAAATACAGTTTAATCTTTTCTGAACTTGTTTAGCAGTTATTAAATATTATTAATAACAAATTTATTTGTACACACACACTATTCCATGTATCTAGTTAAATATATTTTTGTAATCTGGTTGCCTCTGCCTGCATTTGAATAGTGAGTTGGCACGGTTGGCAGAAGTGGAGTGCCAAAATGACGTGACGGCAGTGAAAACCAATAAACACCATTAAATTCTGTTTATTTTTTGTACACAAGCCTAAAAAATTATAAATCGATGGTTATATGCACAAACATTGTATGTCCAATTTTTTTCACTTTTGACATTTTTATATATTTGGAAAGCTGTAGTCTTCATCTTTCAGATCACACATATTGTATGTCCATATTACAACAGGAAAAATAAATATAAATTCTCAAAAAAAAAGTCTTCACTTTGGTATGATGTAATTTTATCCTGCACACTTGTAGCATGTCCAATGATTGCAGTACCAGCTGAACAGAGAAAAACTCCTTTAGAGCACAGATATAGTATCTTTGGACGTGCAATGATTGTGCATAAAAATACAAGGCCTACTATCTCTGGTATTTGTTTTTCATCTTGTAGTATGTCCAAAAATCTGATGATCTCAAGTGCACTCTTATAGTATGTCCACATTTTATTTTACAATTAGGTTAGGTTTAGGACATATAACATCAGTGCACAACAGAACATAACACCAAAAAAGAATCAGTGAATTGGCTAAAGGTCTTTCAGTATAAAATCTTTATACTGTTTACTGTTATCTTAATTGAAAACTTTTATTTCTTTGTTAACTCTACACCGTTTTTCTTTGTTAGTTTATTGCTCTCTCTTGTTAATGATTTAAACTTTATTTTTTGTTATTTACTTAAATCAAATTTATTATTGTTATTCATTAATGCTTAGATTTGTTTTTGTTGTGACTGTTTGGATTATTTTCACTTGTTTTGCCAACCAAAACTTGCTAACCAACCAAAAAATAGTACATTGTGCAAGGACGATCACCTGAGGTCATCGTTTTTTATGCCAACATTTAAAATTAACCAAACAATTTTAAGGAAAAGATTTATAATTGAATAAAGCCTAGATAACAGCCAAGAAAGTTTATTTTTTGTTTTCTGAATAGCTTTGTTAAAGTTCGAAAGTGTACAAAGTATAAAATATTTTATATCTGTGAGTCAACTACTTATTTGATTTAAACATCAATTTAAAACATTTTATAGACATGACCATTTTGAACATACTTTAATAAATTCCTTAAAACCCAAGTGATCACAGAACAGTATGTGTATTAAATTTATTTCTTACTTTTTTAGCCAGGGGGTGCCCATGATAACAGTTGTTTAAATTTTTCATTCCTTACTAAAATCATCTAGGGGCAGTTTTTGTTTTGCACACTCGTAGCATGTCCATAGATCTTCGCGTTCAGAAGTGCACACATATAGTATGTCCAACATGGTTTGATTTACAAATTATTTATAAAAATGTGGCTTGAATAAAGATAAAACTATTTATGTAGATGCATTTTTAATTAATGTGGCCAATAAAATGTATTTAATTCAAACATTTAACAGTTTTAGTTTAAGTTTCCCCCAAAATACAAACTTTGTTTTTGCCGTTTCCGAAAGTTTACCAAAATGGACATACAACTATTGTGCTTATAACCATCGAAATGGTAAACAATTTAACGTGTCATATGTGTGCATCTAACTGTTCATGGTGCTACTTTCCTGTTAAAGGGAACATTCATTATTATCGATTATTTCTTTTTGAATATCGATATTTTATTTTTCCATCCGATATATTGATTATAACAAATTAAAACATATCAGCTGACAACTTAGATAAGGATAGGCTAAATAAATATTGTTCAGTATTAACAAAGGTACTTTCCTGCTAAAGGGACATTTTTATATCTAGGCCTATGATTTCTTTTGATGACATATCGATATTTTTTTTACCAAACCATCTGTATATATTCCTTTGTTTTAATATCTTCAAACGCATTTAAAAACAAATTAAGAACTAACCTTGTTTAGGCAAAAATAATAGCCTAACTTATATCTGGATTAGGAAAAGAAACTATTCAACCTAACATAACCAAAGTCAACCAAACTTACTGTAGTGTAGGCTAAGTTACCGTTTCAAAATTCCGTTTGATTACAGAAAATGCATATGGGGAATAGGCTAGCAAACGAAATATTGAAATAATACAGCAAGCTTGGTTGGTTAGGATAGTTTAGAATAGTTTCATTTCAATAATATTTTTTAAAATTGTTTGTAACGGTAATTTCCTGTTAAAGGGATGCATTGCGATAGCATTCCAATTCCATTAATTTTTAACGATATTTTTCCGATATATCGATATTTTTGGTCCGATATTATCGGAATATCGATATTGAGGCTCCGATATTATCGTCGATATGAATATCGATATTTTCTTTCGATATCCCAACACTAGGGCCGACGAATGCCTAGCGCAGACGGGCACGAACATAGCCAGTACAAACTCGCCGTCATTCGTAGTCACGGACGCTCTCTTTATACAGTATTTACTGCAGTGCTTGTGTAGTTAGAGTTACTTTTAGTTTTTGTTATTTAATTAGGCCTATTTACTACTAGATCTTGTATAGATAAATTAAACAAAGTATTTAGTGTTCTAATGAGAAAACACTGTTATTTTTTAACTATACCATAGGGAGCGTGTTCTGTGACCGTGGGATAATTTAATTGTATATATACATATATTAATATAACTTAAGAAAACAAACATTGTAATAAAAATGTAATCATTAATTTTAAAGTATTAAGCCACAGAGAAGTAAGAAAAATAGGATACATTCAAGTGGTGTTTAACACCAAACGGAAATTATAGAATTTCCTCTAAAATTTTCTAGAATAGTCTTCAACGTTAGCGTGTTACAAAAATTTAGGTGCGAATGTTTTCCGCGAATACGCAATATTGGGCTCAGCACAGTTCGGCCGAAGTTAGCCGATAGTGTACTTGGTTAGTTCGGGATGGTTCGGGCTGCACATTCGTCAACATTCGTGGTCGCAATCTGACCCGAACCATAGACTAACCAACACAAGTAGACTTCTCATCCCATTGTAAATTTTGAAGCACGTTTTTCGTGTCTAGTTCATGTACGTGACACAAGGGCGCTAGTGTCGATGAAACTTTGTTTACATTATTTTAGGGTTAATTTCTTGATTTGTGCTTTACTGTTTGGTTATATAACTAGGGGACAAGTTATTGTTTATGATTAGATCGTATTATTTGGTTAAACGAGGTTTTAAATGGCTGTAATAACGGGACACAAATTGTAAACAAAACACGACCTCTACATAAACCGTACATGAACTAACAATAAAATTGTCTTCAGCTGTTCCATAAGGATGATAAATCTAAGGGAGTATGTTTTATCTATGCCCGAACATTCGGCCATCGGCGAAACATTCGGGCAAATGTTCGGCGATAGTGTACTGGTAGCTTAATCATTGGCTTTAAGTAGATTTTCCACTTACTTGTATGCAAAGTCTCCTCTCTTGTACTCTCTCTTGCCATAAGAGGAAGAAGAAGCTTGTCAATTTTTACGATTCGCTCTTCGCTCTTTTCTTCTGCTCTTCTGAGTTCTGCTGTTCTTTTCTTTTCTATTTTCTTGTTCGTGTTGTTAAGGTTAAATTTGTGCTAGGTTAGTGATAGGCTCGAGTTTGAAAATGAGTTTATTAAATGTAGAAATGACGAATTTGTACTTAACCTAATACACTTTACACAGTTTGGTCTAACATATTTGTTGAAGCAAGTATATCCTAACTTGAATAGGCTAGGTAGGATAAATTAACTCTAAGCAGTTTTTAGGCAGGTCTTGCACACTCTCTTTTTAAACCATAGGCTATTTTAAACTTTTAAGTGAACTTTAATTTGATGATAAATTAGTTAAAATTATTTTAGTGTCCTATAGTTTTGACTAACACGAAAGATCACAAGTAACATTATGGGGGAAACAATAACAAGAGGTGAATTAGTAGGCTTGTTTGTCAAAATATCCCTAATTAGTGTTGCCTCATACTTCAGTATGAGATGGATGTTAAATCAAATAGATCCAACCAGAAAGCAAAAGAAGAGTGCTAAATCCAAAGTAAGTAGCCTAGTTATGTTATTTAAGTTAAGTTACCTGATGATTTTCCTGTAATTTTAAAGTTAATGTCATCAGCATAAACACATATTTCCACAAGCAACACACGACAGTGCATTTGGAATCGGTAATTATTCCGTATAGGTGCCTCCAAACAAATTTTTAATTTTGATATCTTACTTAATAGTTTTTTACCTCCTGAATCCAAATATACCATTATTTTTCACAGCTGATGAATATTTCTCAAGATATCGCCGTAATAAGTAATATACAACATTACAAAAAACAAGGTAGGATGGATGGCATTTACAAGTGGAATGAACTATGGGTTAAGTAAACCAACAGCTGATTGTTTTCAATCATAGTCAAGCAAATGGAAGTGACAACTTTAATTAGCTAACTCTGATTCTGCAATATGAAAATCACCTGATTAAGTTACACTTTTCACTTTCTAAGACCAATAAGTTAATAATGTATTATTGTTACCAGTATTTTATCCTTATTAATGATTTATTGATTTATATTTCGCCGTTTAGAAATTACATAGTAAAATGGTGCTATTATAACATAACCTAACCATAGATAAAACATACTCCCTTAGGGGTCTGACTTAGGGGAGGTACGAATGAGGCATTTAGTTCAAAATTCCTCCGTGAACAGCGCTGTAGTAGAAAGCATTTTGGCAATGAAGGTTTACTAATCGCAAAAATAGTTCTGTTCATAAAATAAAATTATAAATGTCTCAAATTCAATTTTATTTTTTTTTAATTATAAAATTAAACTGTCATAACCTAACCGAACTAACCAAACTTGCTGATAAAGAAATAATATAACAAAAGTTTAGTTATCGGAAAAATAATTCTGTTTATTAAATAAAACTAGAATTTGCTCAATTAAAATTTTATAGCCTAATGACTTAATAATAAAACTGTAATAACCGAACCAAACCAACCAAACATGCTGATAATAAAAAAATCTTGGACAAAAAGTTAACGCTACCAGTAGGATTCGAACCCAGGACCTACAGAATATCAGCCCGGCACGCTAACCATTAGACCACCGAGGCCGATGGCTGCTGACCGTTTTGTTACGGTAATGGCGTTCTCTCAGCTAATAAGAAGCCCACAGCTGTCATCGTAGCCTCTTCTATACCTCCCCTGAGTAAATACCCTCCCTTAGTAGATTTATCATCCTTATGGAACAGCTGAAGCCAATTTTATTGTTAGTTCTGTACGGTTTATGTAGAGGTCGTGTTTTGTTTACAATTTGTTTCCCGTTATTACAGCCATTTAAAACCTCGTTTAACCAAATAATACGATCTAATCATAAACAATAACTTGTCCCCTAGTTATATAACCAAACAGTAAAGCACAAATCAAGAAATTAACCCTAAAATAATAGAAACAAAGTTTCGTCGACACTAGCGCCCATGTGTCACGTACATGAACTAGACACGAAAAACGTGCTTCAAAATTTACAATGGGATGAGAAGTCTACTTGTGTTGGTTAGTCTATGACCTAACCTTTTTAGAATGAGAAAGCAAACTCCTTTTGATGTCAGAAAAGGCATGTCAGGGTGATAGGTCGTGCTTTATGTGAATTGGTGACTGCATTAAGTCCTTTGAAGGTAGGTTACAGTAGATTAGGAAGGTAAAGTTTAGGATACCTATAATGTATCGAGTTGTTAGTTTATGTTGCCTGCAGACTGTTTTTGTAAAATTAAAATCCAGAAAAAACACTTCAAATTACTATTTCAAAAATGCAAGCATTTTTGAAAAAGTAATTTGAAGTGTTTTTCTCAGGATTTTAATTTTACAAAAACAGTCTGCAGGCAACATAAACTAACAACTCGATACTTTATAACCTAAACTTTACCTTCCTAATCTAACCTAACTTCAAAACACTTAATGCAGTCACTAATTCACATACAGCAAGACCTACCACCCTGACATGCCTAAATAAGAACTACATGTAATTAGTCCACCAGTCCAACTATATCTCCATAATGTGACGAAATTCCTATTATAGAGAACATTAAGTTATTTGACTACATAATCACTTGAAATGTTATCCATCCTATCTTGTTTATTGTAATGTTAAGTATGTTTTTACGGCAATATCTTGAGAAATATTCATCAGCGGTAAAAAATAATGGTAAATTTGGATTCAGGAGGTAAAAAACTATAAGGTAAGATATCAAAATTAAAAATTTGTTTGGAGGCACCTATACGGAATAAATACCAATTATTTTTATTAGACATGATTGCTTTCTATCCGATAAATATGATTTGAACCACGAAAAAATGTGACCTCTTACTACCATATCTTCTAGTTTGAGTTAGAGTTTTTGTGTTTATACCCTAGATCAAAAGCCTTCGTAAGGTCCATTAATATTCCTATAGGCTAACATTTTCGTGGCTAACAATTGAATTTATTATACTTTCAAAAAAACTTGAAGCAGCCGTAATTGACTTTCAAAAAAACTTGAAGCAGCTGTAATTGTTGATCTGCCTGAGCGAAAACCATGTTGGCCACCAAACAGAAGGTCGTTATTTTCTATAAAAGACACTACCGGTAGCCTAATTTTCATTGCTTTTCAAATAATTTTGAAATAACTGGCAGAAGTGATATTGGTCGATAGTTTTCTACGCACTGAGGGTCCCCCTTTTTGAAAATAGGCACTCCTGAGATACTGGGCAGGACTTTACGGCCAGGCAACTTGAAACTGCAATGGAGAGCAAGATGCAATCAGGAACATTCCAACCCAAGTTTATTTAGCCTAATTAACTTATGTTATCTTCTTAGAGTTGAATCATCACGTACAATTTTATTATTAAAACCGTCGGTAGGCCTAGACTTATTTTTAAACGTTTTAATGTTAAAGTGGTAATTTAAGTTACGTTAGCCTAAGCCAGACTCAAAAGTCATTTTAATTACTAACTTATTTTTAATGTTTTCCGACCTGCTGTGTCGGTTTAGGTCAACTAGGCATAGGATGATAACTTAATGCTATGGTATTCTACAAATAGGGATAGGCTAGAAATAACATGGTTGAAGTTTGTACTCATTGTAACCTAGCCTTATTAACCCTGGCTGTTAATGGTGACTGATTCAATGTGTATACACCAGGCTTAGCTTTTCTATGGAGATTTTTTTTTTGTAAGTGTGTAGGCCTATGTATACATTTAATACAGTTAATATTAAGTTTTTAATGTGTTTAGAATAAATTTCTTGTTTCATTGATAAAATCCAGAAATTGATGCGCTAAATATTTACCCAGCGTGAGCCCTCACGTTATGGTGAAATAGTCGCAGCTGCACTTTTGGATTGAAGATCTAGTGCCTACCTCAATCAGTCTTTTAAAAATCTCTTGTTTGCCTTTTTGAACCAAAAGTCTGCTTACCAAGTTGTCTTCTCTGTCCACAGTTTATTTTTACCTAATCTTAGTTATAAAGCCTGAAGCAGTTAAAAAAGTAAAATATAAGTTAAGAGTGTAGGCCTACTGGTAATCATATCTTCTTTGTCAATATAAAAGTAAAGAAACTGTATTTCTAAACTTGTAAAAATCCTCCATATATGGCTTACTGAAGACACGTTAGATGAAACATTTTAATTTTGTACTTATAGTTAGGCCTGTAGACTTATTAGACTTAACCGAAACTTTGTACAATTTTTATTTTTCCTCGTTTTTCAGGCACAACAGCAGCTTAAAAAGCTGGGAATCCTGAACCCATCAACAGTAAGTATACCTAATTAATTCCCTTTCAGTTATTGTAGCCTATTTTCATTTTGTTGTAGTAGTTAATTCTTTCCTACTTGAAAGTTTCCATCATAAAGCACAGCTGTGGTTAAGTTGATTTGTTGTTTAGGTGTATTTATTACTTGGAACTACTTTATGAAACACACAGTTATACTTTTTATATCTAACTCTGTTATTCTGTTTGCAGCTTTCTGAGTATGAAATAGTTATAGCAAGTCATCTTGTCATCCCAAGTGAAATACAAATATCCTGGGAGGATATTGCGGGTTTGGAAGACGTTATACAGGAGCTCAAAGAGACCGTCATTCTACCTATTCAGCGCAAAGATCTATTCACTTCTTCCCAACTGACAAGGGCACCTAAAGGTAAAGGAATTTGAAAGCCGCTGTACCCTAAAATTATATCTTGGTAATTTCTTGGTTAGCTTCAGTGCCGTATTTAGGATCTTTGTGGACTCCTGCTGCTCACACCAGAAAGCCCTTTAGATTCAGAATCTTCTTTGCAAGGCCGGCGCTTGCGGGGCTTAGAAATATGTGGTATTGTTTCAACTCAAATAACATGCTATGTTTATATCATATACAGTAGAACCTTGATAACAAGTCACCCTTTATAACAAGGGTAATTTTCAAATTCCCTTGAAATTATTTACCCATAATCACATGTTTTTGCAAACCTCGTTAAGAAGTCAACCTTGATAACAAGTCTTATTTTGTAATTCCTATGAGAGTCTTGTTATCAAGGTTCTACTGTATGTAGGCTATATTCTTTGTTATCGAGGATCTAATCAGGGAATAAACCTAAGAGACTAGCTAATAAATAATTCTATTTGGTCATTCAAAATGAATGTAAGGAATATCTGCGGTCAACGCCTTTTTACTTTAGGTTGGGCCAATAATTTTGAACTTACTGTCGGGGAAAAAAGTTTAGACACTCGAGTTTGGAGCTCTACAGAAAAGTAACCAACTAACTTAGAAAAACACGTAGTATATATAAATTTTCGTTGTTTAATTCTACGTATCCCTGTGAAAACAAAATTTTTTTAGCTTGTTTAGGAATTTTTTTATGACAGTCGGAAGGTAAAAACTCTCTGTTTTTAGAGGATCAAAAACCATCTTATGACTTTGGAAATTGGCACAATGTAAACTAAACGGCGGAACTTTATCCGTAGAATGTGTAGTGTGTGCTTAGTTTGAACTTCCTTACGGTAGTTCAAAAACTTCTTTTATTAATCCTGCTCATGGGTAATTCTGATCACGGCCAAGTGACCAATCAATTGCTTAAGATAAATTAAAGCTCATAATCAACTGATGGTATTGTACCCTATTAAAAACAGATGTAAAGTAAAAGATGTTGGCTATCTTACTTACTCGCTTGTAATAGTTTTTGATGGGTTGGCATAATTGAAATCTTGTTTTCTTTGTCTGCTGACTTGCCAATTCCCAGACAGCTTATGAGTAATTTAATAACGATCTATGGCCTGCTCTATATCTGCTCCTGCTAGCCCCTCTTTTGCAGCTGTACTGTCTAATTGTCTATCACTTGATTGTTCACACTTAATCTCTACACATTTTATGAGGGCAAATGTCTTTTCCAGATTTGGTTTTATATAGGTGTAGGTTTTTATGTTCGTAAAATCGAGCAACCTACAAATCTTTGATCCTCGCTGAAATAAAAATAGCAGATATGATCAAACACTTAATTTATTGAATATTTTTGTTTCTTGAAGAATTGTGCAGTCAAAAGATAGATTTTTCAATTTTCATAACCTAAACGTCCAAACTTATTTCTTATCTTTTCTTTATCAGGTTCCTGTGATGTTCACCTATAACACACGTTATCAATAACATGTTTGTTTGTATTCAAAACAATTACTGTGTTGTCAAACAATTACTATGACAAATTAGGTTGTGTTCTGATCTATTGGACATTAGGTTTATAGGACTCAATCATTGTAAATATTCATAAATGGTGCCAATTTAAAAATGTGCAATGTGAAAGGATTTTCCAGTTGATACTCTTGGAATTTAATTTTTGCTAAAACATCAATGATATTTATGTTTATTTTGTTACATTGTTCTCAATCATTCAGAGGATTAGGCTACAACTTACGTTTGTCGGCAGTTTAGCCAACTTTAAAAATCACAACCTAACTTTTGTGTGATCGCAGGTATTCTGCTGCACGGACCACCTGGCTGTGGTAAGACACTGATCGCCAAGGCAACGGCTCGCGAGGCTGGCACACGCTTCATCAACCTGGACGTGTCAATGTTGACGGATAAGTGGTATGGGGAGAGTCAGAAGCTAGCAGGAGCTGTGTTCTCTCTGGCCATCAAGCTGCAACCCTGCATCATCTTTATCGATGAAATCGGTTGGTAACAGTTCGCTCAGCGACGTTCTGGCAATTGAGAGAAATCGGAGGGTTAGGGAGATATGATCAAATGTAGTATACCCTCAGCAATATGGCAGTGCCCATGAATGCCAGATAAAATGTTATGTTCAGGAGCACCACATATTGCCAAGGGTATAAGGACAGTCTTTTCTCATTACAGGATGTCTAAATATATTTAGGTCTCTAAACAGTAAAATCAGTAGAACTAGTGGGAAGTCGTACAATTTCAAAAAAAAAGTAAAAAAAATGATTTTTGATAGTGATTTTATATGTTTTCCGTGGATTTAAAACATGTAATTTTCCAATTTCGATTAACTCTAACTAAAATCTGAATTCAGTTAAAACTGAAACAAGTTTGAATTTCCCTCTAACTCATATATATTAGGCTCCATGTTCTCAACAAAATCAACACACAGGAATAGTAATTTAAACCACTTTAACCATTTGTTCGGATTTTCAACTAGGAATTTTAAAGTTTTACCAATGCCGTCCCTTGCTTTATACTAAACAGTCACAGCACACTTGGATACAAAATATATTACGACCTTTTCCATTAATTCTTTACGACTATATAAGTTGTATGGAACAATACACCATCTAACGTTTCGGTTATGCCTCGGTTCTAATCCAACATAACCATAATTCGACTCAACTTTAAGTCTTGTCACTCAATCCTAAACAGTATTTGATAAGATAACTATAACATTTCAATGTAAAAATTACAGTGGAAGAGTGTAGTGAATTAAGGTAAAAGCTCCTTTCTCAACTTTGATTCTTGATAATTGGATACTTAATACGCCTCATGAAGCTGGCTTCAAATTTTAGCATTATATGACCATACCTTACCAAATCAAACTTTTACCAATGTTTACAACTCACTTTTATTTTCACTGATTGCATTAGTAGTACTGCTTGAAAAAAATACTTAAAATATGAACATGAATTAGGATAAGATACATTGAATGCTCTATTGTGAATTTACAATGTTAGGAAGTTGTCCGATGTTCATTTTTTGGTCAGATTCGTTCCTGAGGGCGCGCAGCTCACACGACCACGAGGCCACGGCTATGATGAAGGCTCAGTTCATGGCTCTGTGGGACGGACTCACCTCAGACCCAGATTGTACTGTCATCATCATGGGAGCCACAAACAGGCCTCAAGACTTGGACAAGGCTATACTGCGCCGTATGCCAGCTACCTTCCACATTGGTCTGCCGGTCAGTGCTTCATTAGATTTCAAGCTTTAACATGTTCCCTACAAATCGGTTTTGTTAGTGGTATGCGGGCCAGATTTTTCTACTTCGGGGCAGGTCAAAATCGGGTTGCTTGGAAAATATTGATAACAAATATACAATACATTGATTAATGTTGTATTGTACATTACCTCTCACAATCACAATGAAACCTCAAACGTCCACTGGAGTCATGACAAAATCTTCTGATATCACAGCAAAATTGTGAACTTTATCCATTGTCTTGGCAAAAACTTAATGTTTTTCAATAGCTTGTAACGTGCCATCATTCTGTAACGGTGTGGTAGTCTGTGGCGAGAAAATAAAATGACCCATTTAGGACAGTAGTGAGCGAGTCGACTGTAAAATTGTCTGGGTAGCTAAAGTAGATAGCATGTATAGCTTTCTTTGAAATCAGAAGGTCTCTGGCACGAGTTAAAGCAATATAAATTCTGAAACCAGATACCCTTTTATATTAATAAAAACTCTGACTATAAATAATAGGCTCAACTTCTGATGCTATATAACAATACAAGACCAGAGTTCCCTTACTTAAAACATCATAAAATACAATGGTGTGAATAAACACAAAATAAACAAGTCAAATGAAATTTCACCTAAGACCATTTGATTTTAAAACCCATTGCAACCTAAAAGAATATTTTTAGAAAAAGAAAATCAACTGTAGCATCAGCTCTAGTCTCCGGGTGCTGTTCAACTGTTAGGCCTTTCTGGCGCCTGGTGCCGGAAACGGCGATAAAGTTCTCGTGCATGGAAACATTTTTGGTGGAATTATTTACTTTTATTTTATTTTTAGGCACCTTTTATTGGATTGTTTGTAAATGTTTTGGATCTATGTGTTTTAATATTAAATGACAGAATAATAAAATTAAAATGTGATTCAGAAATTGAACCAACGGGTGGCCATCTTCTCATTGATAATGGAGGGAGAGCCGACAGCGAGTGACGTAGACATTCAGAAGCTGGCTCGCATGACGGATGGCTTCTCTGGCTCTGATATACGCGAGCTCTGTCGCAATGCTTCTGTCTACCGCGTCAGAGACTACATGCGTACAGGAACTGGTTCCAGGTACTAAATCCAAGTTGTATCCATTTTGGTTAAAACTCTTAAAAATGTTAAAGAGGTTTGCAGTCTCTTTTGACCTTGAATTCACCAATTCAGATAGACCTCTTATTTGTTAATGTAGGGTAATTTGTCAAGGAAAATGGGTGAGCGGATATTAGAATGAACTTGTACAAATAATACGGATAAATTTAAGTGGCTCTAGTTTGGAATCAAAGTTATCGTTGCATTAAATTTATAGTCTGTTGTACTACTGACCATCCAATATTTTTTTGAATTAGGCGTCAAGTGTTCAAGGTTAACGATTTAAAGGTTCAGGAAACTTATCCAGAGTCGCTAAGACACAAAGACCCATTTGAAATAAAGTTTTGTCATACGAAGAATTAAGTTTTATATAAAAAGAATTGCTTGTCATTAGCACACAGTAAAACCTCACTAACTCGACAACCAGTAGCTCGACAGTCAACCGCTGACAGGGTGCACGTCTCACTGGCTTTGTCTTACTAGTACATTCGATTTTTCAAGTAATTTATTTAGGACATTTAGTTTTAATTGTTGAATATTCAACATTTCTTTGAATATAGTTTACTCAATATGTAAAAATACTCACGCAAGTAATAAATATGTGTGTAAAAATTAGTCAGTTTTATATTCATATGTCTACTTGGCCGCAGGAGATAATCAGAATTTTGCCCCGATTACGGAAGAGAACGATGTCTACACGATGGTGGGAGATGCTCATGATTTTGTCGACGACGATGACGTTTCCTTGACCGCGGGAGTTGATGATAAAAATGTTGCCCCGATTGCGGAAGACGATGATGATGTCTACACAACAGCGGGAGATGATCATGATATTATTGGCAGTGTCTATCTTTATTAAAGAATTTCAGCTCATTTAGTTGAATAGTTTTTTAAATCGTCCGAAACAATATTAACCAAAACGGAACCTACTTACATTTTACAGTATTATCAGACAGCAATTGTTTTATTTGCAGAACTATTGATGGAGACGGTGAAGAATTCCATGACGCTCTTCGCCCCATTACAATGGAGGACTTGACCCTCTCATTAGAAAAGATGAAGAAATCCCGAGCTCATTGCGGACCTCCTAGTCTAGTAAACATACCTCTTGACTAAGTCCCTAGTCCTCTCTGCACTTGTAAATTATTATTTTTATTTCTTTGAAACAAAGAAATACTTTTAACATTCTGAAATGTTAATTTTGGGAAGAAGACACTACGACTTGAAGTGTTATCGGTTTTGTTTTTCAGTTCTGTTGTACATAATTTTAGATAGAGGAAGTCTAGACTATAGGGTAGTTGTTGCAATCAATTGATGTTTTTGTGTTTTTGTCTTCCCTCTTTGTCTTGATCCACCATAAGTAAAGGAGAACTCCAACTATCCGAATCTAATTGGGGGGTAACTACCAGAATTTAGAGTTTTGTTTTACAGAAAATAGGACTAGTCGAGCCGAGCTTTACTATTGCTGTTACATCTGAGAAGATTTTGCAATAGAAAAATCCAGCCACGGTGGGCGATTATGATTTTCCGTAAACATGGGAGGCGAGAAAGAAGTCTAAAAGACCGAGCAAGAACAAGATTTTGCCGTAATTGTAGAAAATTACGTCGACGTTTCTGTGATCGCGGGAGACGATGTCCACACGACCGCAATTGAGGTTTTGGATTTTACCATGATCACGGCTTCTGCCTTCTGCAATAACAATTCTATGTTTAAGTATTTAAATTCTTTCTGTAAGCTAAGTTATTCGGATAATCGGCAATTCAGATAATTGGAGTTCTATTGTAGTGTGCCAATGCTGTTGTTTTTGGAAATCAGTGACAACTGTTTAGGGTTTACTACTAAATGAGCACAATTTCATCCCAGTATATTGATTATTTACGTTTACAATGTTCGTAGATTCCGTTTTGAATAAGTTAAGCATGTGGAGTAACCCACTAACTTTTATTAAACACTCGATTCAGATATAAAATCAAGCTAAAAAAATATTTCTGAAGTAAAATTACTGTAGGCTATGTGTAAATTGTAAATCATTTGGTAAAACTATGATTTTAGTTTGAGAAACTGTGATAACAAATGTATGTGTACTGTCTTAAATATGTTTTATACTTTCAATAAATTGTACTTCTGTTTTAATTTGCATGTAAAAATATAACTTTTAAAAGAAAATCCATTGACAATTTAGATCACAAACTAACAAATACATTAAAATTAAAGAGTTGAATAAGAATTTGCACATGGTTTTCCATGCATGAAAACAACCAATTTTCCAGAAAAATAAAATAATAACTATTTAATATTAAATAATTGTAGTACTGAAATCTGAATATGTGTTACTCTTCTCTAATATGACCTTTCCATGATTGAGGGATGGGAGATTGTTATAAGTATAAGACAGTGTTGCTACAAATATGTGGGTGTAATATAGTGTTTAATAGTAATCTCAAAATCAAAGAATCTGTATATAATTACGTTAAGTGAATTTTTGCGTCAAAATTGTGGAGGACTGGGATGTTGTAGAACGACGGGAGAGGGCTCAAATTAAAGGTATTCAAATGACGACAGGAAAAATAGTGAAAATCCCCAAATGTTTATAGAAAATTAGATATACCGGTAACGTAACATGTTCTCCATAAGAATAGCATTAGAAGCCATTTACATCCGATTTTAGTTTACTTCAACACAGCTGATTGTAATTCATCATTTAAGCCAGTACGCAAGAGTTGGGAATTTGCCAATTATTAGCTTTTGTAAACTATAAATAATAATAAAAAAACATTTAAAATGTTTTCAAACAAAATGATAATGTATCCTTTGAATGAAAAACCTTACAATTTATGTTATTAACAATTAACTACTTAAAAATATGGACAAAGAAGCAAATGAATACTTCAGTGTGGTCTAAACTATGAACTCGCTGAACATTTAAATAGGCCTATTATTATACAATTCGAACATGTAAAGTCAATCGCATCTTTAGGAGGAATACCACCACATAGAAACTTATACTTAGAGTAGTTTTTTTTTTATGTCGATAAAAAACATATCTAGCGTTACGTTTAGTCGATGGGATGCCTTTACACTAATTTTGTTAACCTTTACAAAATGGTATAAAATTACTAGAAACTTTCATTGGGTTGGGGTACTAATTTTGCGGTTTTTACCAAGAGCTAATCTTATCCCAACACACATGTCATATTTCACGAAGACAAACACTATTCACAAACCAGTAGGTTGTTTGTTGCCTTTGACCTAGAACCTGTTGTTAAACCTCTAGAATGAATGAAATTATATATTGAAAATAACATCAACAAAAGCAATCAAAGAGACTGTTTTTTATACAAAAGATAATGGAGTACAATGATATCCATCCTGAAACATAGATAATCTTATTCTGCTTTTGTTTGAATATTAAAATAATTTGTTTTAAACTTGAACTTTTTAGGGACTTAAGCCCTACAAGCCCCTAGTTATATAAGAATTATTTGGACAAATCAACTCTAACTTGACATAGCTGTGCTATTCCTCCGCAGTTATTTCACTATAAGTCAAGTGTTAACTATGAGTGTGTAATAATATTGGTAATAATAATAATAATTACATACTGTATAACATTGGTTCATAAAATCTATTTCAGTTATTCCATCAACAAGATAGGAACAAAGTAAATATATCTAGAAATCTTTCATTGTACTTACTTCAGTTACTTCGCTACCAAGTATTAAAAAAAAATCCTACAGCAGGTATTTTTGTAAAACCTATTTAAGATTATGATTTGTTTGTAGCCACTGAGGTAGAAATACAACTTGAAGCAGCACTGACACGAAAACTATAATTGAAAATCTAGACGTAATTTTGTTAGGTTGATACCACCAACTACAGCAGAAATCAGCTCATTGGCTCATGGCTTTACGTATGTACAATCCCACTATCCCCTAGTTCAAATGTACTCAGTAAAATGTATTTTATCCTCTAGTACAAGTGCCGGCCAATGTCTCAGAATTCTCTCATTCAGTGCTACTTCCCGTTGTATCGCGAGCTCAGTGTTGGTAACACGGTTCTTAGACCTGACATGTCCAGAAAAATTTACTTAACCTACAAGTGTTGTTGAAAATGTTAGTCAGGGAATGCTTTAAAAGACGTAGATTTAGAAATGTAAATAGCAAAATCTCGTAAAGTTTTCAGCTTGAGTATTCATTGATGTATTCTGTACACTAGCTAAGTTAATTGTAATGTTAATTAGTATTTGAAATAGAATAATAATTATTCCCTTGACATAACAGTTAAAATATATATAAATATTTTGGCCCCTTTATTGTTAACAAAATGTGTATAAAGATAGTTTACGAAGCAAGTTCAGTTATTGAGTTATTGCTTGACTTGTTATGTTAAAAATGTTGAAATTAAGAAGATTTAGTAGGCGATAGATAACTACTCTTGCAAGTGTTTAGAACGGTTTTTATTTATTAATTACTTGTTTGATTCACCTTACGAATTCAGTCTTTTATTAAAAGATTATCAATGGGTTTTAGCGAATTTCCCTATAGGGAAGTAGCTATTACCGTAGGTCTCATGGTAAGACCTAAGCCCGGGACCGATTTACTTTTTCATTTTGATGTCCCCAGAGGCCAAAAACACCATTCGTTCAAATTTTTATATATCTATATATATATATATATATATATATATATATATATATATATATATATATATATGTGTCCATCCGCACGATAACTTGAGTAATTTTTGTCCGATTTTGATGAAATTTGGTTTGAAGGTGTAAGGCGGGATAAACTTGAATGAGTTCGCGAACCAGCATGATCGGACTATGGGAACGGGGGTTTATGGGGGGTTTTATGGGGTAAAAATGGGTTTTTCCCTTTTTTGACCCTAAAAACACAAAATTTCACAATTTCTTTTTAAACCATTTTGTAGAGCTTAAAAAAACAAATAATTTAGTATATTGAAGCGTTATAATGCGCCTAATTGTTACGGAGAAAATTCAAAAAAATTGTAATTTTAAAATTCTTATGTTATTCTTATGGAGAATAAGTCAACTGTTGTAGTTTGCTTGTTTATGAACATAATTTTGATCAAATTTGGAAAATACATTAATTTCTTACTAAACCACAGTAGGCCTACCTTTTAACATTTTACATAAAAAAAAACATTTTACCCTCCCTGTTGCAGCAAACCTAAGTACTCATTAAACTACAGTAATTCTGTTTAAACAGGGAATAGGCTAAATGTGATATTTTTAAGGAGACATTTTAGTTTAAATCCAATCAGGCAAATGGAAATTCGCTAAGTCTGCAGGTTTGCTGCGGCGGGGGTATTTTTATTTTGTTTTTCTCTATTAAAGTTTGTTACAGATCATTTTTTTGCCTAATTAACCCTTCACCTGATATAATTGATTACAATGTCTGGTTCATGTAAGTTAATAATGTTACCATAGATTAAACATACTCCCTTAGTTGATATGTCATCCTTATGAATCATCTGAGGTAGTCCTTGTGCATTTAACTGTAGTGCTTTATTATTCATACATCAATACTAATATTGCAAAAATCAATATCTGATACAATTAGTTATACAAGAGGTCGTCCAGTGGTCGAAAACTCAACCGAAAATATGTAATGTATCTATTTTCACCCCCCACTGTAAAAAAACAAGCGATAGGAATTACTTTCATTTGTTTTAAATTTCTGTTTATATTTCACCACCAGCATAAGCATGGCTACCCATAAGGCCCATGTTATTTTTTTAATTATTTTTTGTGCTTATTTATATCCTTTTTTAATTTATAAAGGTATTCTGCACATCTACAGGTAAATATCTCTCTAACAGTACACGTAGATTTTCCCTGCATTACACAAGCTGAGAAAAAAAGTTTTAAAGAAACATGCTTGCCTAATAAAATAATATATAGATCAGAATTTTATTTCATCTGATAATGTGTAGGTTCTCTGAACTATACATTTTTAAACATTTAAAGAATGAATAGTAATACTGACTAAATACAGAGAGGACCTAGAAAATAATTATCGTTAATTTATTTTTTACATAATTATATTTCCTGTAAATATGTTGCTGATATTTTGCTAAAAAGTGAAAAAGGTATTGGAAGTGTTTGTATTGTAAAGTGGTATTGGATATTGTGGTTCCAGATGACTCTGTACAGTGATTATTTTAGGGTAGTCTCAGGACATAGCCACCTCTCTAATACAAGGCTCCCGGGAGACCATATATTGAAACAGCTGTTGTACTGTAATAAATAGCGTATGCACAATTTTTATGTTTGCTATTAATAATTCACTAGTGTACCTGTTGCTCGAATTCGAGCAATTGCTAAGTATTACAGGCGTTATTTTATAACGAATAACAGTCATAATTTCTGATGACTTTAGAAGATTCGACTCAAAGATTATGGAAATACTCAAGATGTACATAACAGATCGATATAACCAACATTTCTTGTAAATATCGTATCATTTTTCAAAAGCTGATCTTGTTTTTTAGTGTTTTCTACAAATAGCCTTACTCATAGCCGCATTAGGTTGTCCATAATAACGATTATAAATTCTAAAAAAAATTATTTATATTTCTTCTCCTATGTTTCCAAAGTTTGCAAATCAGCTCTTTCAATGATTACTAAGGAATGCAGCACACAGTGTTTAATTCAGTTATCTTTTTAGTATATAAAATTATCCAGGCTCTCTCGCTTTTTTCCATTGTAATATTTACGCCAACCCAAATTCAAATAGTAAAGATTTCATTTCAACCGTCAGTAAATGTTTGTAGCAAACTGTTAAATTAGCAAACTTATTGACTGTTTACAATTAACATATGTTCTTCCTCTCATTATAGTGGTATGTAGGCATTACATGCCTACATGCATTCATTTTCATGTGGCATTTCACGTCCATTAGGGTCATGACAGAATTTCATGTTTTTTCAGATGCTCTATTAATAAAAAAACTACCAAAGATATTGTGTTACCATGGACAGTTTATGAAACTTCAAATGTCAATTAAATAAAATCTATATATTAATAGGCAAGCATGCTACTTTAAAACCTTTTTTCTCAGCCCGTTTTTGCATCGCAGGGAAAATCTTTGTATATTGTTAGAAAGATATATTCCTGTAGATGTGTAGAATCTCTTTATAAATGAAAATAGGATAAAAAATAAGCACAAAAATAGATTTGAAATTTGAAAAAAAATTACATAGGGCTTATGGACTGCTATGCTGGTGATAAAATAACAACAAAGTACATATAAACAGAATATCAAAACAAAATGGAAGATATTCAAGTCACATGTTTTATTTACAGGATGGGGTGAAAATAGAAAGGTCTGTGCATTAAATATTTTGGTCGAGTTTTCGGCCACTGGACGACATCTAGTAAATAAAAAAAACTGTTATGAAGTGCTTTTCTTGGAAACTTGCGATTTTAAATTTTCACTCACACCTCGCTTGGGGTTAGCAAACAAAATTATGTTGTGTTTGTATGCAATGTTAGATTTTTACCTAACCTGTATTTCTTGGTAACAGAGAGTGGTGTAATTACCTAAGGTATACCACTTTCCCTGGAGGGTGTTAACAGAAACTCACATAAAATCTCTGAATACCTACTGATGGGAACTATCATGATCTTGCCCTTTAACAATTTTCTTCCCAACCTAATAAATACTGTAAAATATAAAAGTATAGCCGTTAAGGTTCTTGATTTGCCAAATCAATTAATTAGACGACACCAACATAAGTAATTGAATTTGGTATACTTACTTAACTTTGAAATGGCGAACATATTATATAATCTAAAGGTATATTGTCTAGTCTCTGCCGAGGCACTCAACTCAAGTGTGTTTTAACCGTTGACTGTTTTGTTTTGTCCTAGGACGCTAGGCACAAGCCTGGGATTTTGTTTTCACATAAATCATGCTCGACCTATGGGTTGCGGCATTATATCACTTAGATAAAATCCATTGGTGACTTGGCGGGGATCGAACCCGGGACCTCGTGGACCCGCGCTCTAACCACTACGCCAGCTCGCTCCCCTAACCGTTGACTATAGGATACTGAAATAGACATACCATCTATCTATCAATGAATTGTTTAAGGTTTGGACCAAAAATAGAAATTTACTACAACCAAGAAAAGGAGCATGCATGTAAAGTTATAAACAGCGGAACCCCGAACTCACCCAGTATAGTTAGTCTAGTCATATTTGAGAAATTACCTAAAAAACTTTTATAAGTGTAAAACTTGGTACGTATACATTGAATTTTACTTCCGGAATAACATACTAACTAGTGTACCTGTGTTGCTCGAATTCGAGCAATTGCAAAAAGCATTACAGGCGACTCGAAGGTTATGGAAATACTCACGATCTACACAACAGTTAGATATAATCAAAATCTTTTGTAAATATCTTATCTTTTTTCAAAAAACTGATCTTGTGTTTTTAGTGTAAAAAACATTATTTCTATTTCTACTACTTGGTTGTGTTCTATGACTTTTTCTGTTTCCATTGTTTGCAAATCGGTTATTTCAATGATTGCTCAAGAAATGCAGCACAGTGTTAATTCAGTTTTATTTTTAGCCTATATCAATTAAATTGTTCAGGATTTCTCGCTCTTTTCCATTGTAATAATTACACCAACCCAAGTTTCGTCTACGCGGATGCAATATGCCATCTCCAAGAAGTGGTAAAAACGGCAGAAACCAACCAATACAATAGATATAAGTTAACTCCATAAGAAATATAATTTCAAAAATTACTGTGATATTGGGATTTTCCACTGATTTGGTAATAGAACATTATATTGCAAAACATGACACGATGTAGAAGAAAATCAATTTTAAAATCAGAAAAATCCATTGCAAATACTGTACTTCATTTTGACAAATTCAATAAATCACAATTTAAATATTAACAGCTGTTGCATTAGAAAGTAGGCAGTGTAAAATTATGCATATGGTCGTAATGTAAACAAATCTGGAGGCAACTTTAAAGGCTTCTGGGGCAGAGCCCCAAGGAAGTTGACCTCGTTCCTCTTTTGATGGCTCATCTACAGACCAAGACCTTTCTTTAGAGACCCCTACCAAGTTTCTACGCCCAGCCGTTCTCTCAAATTACCTGTGACAAAAACGCCGTTTTCCTCCATAAGAATAACACGGGATGGGAATTCAAAGGCCACTGGGGCAGAGCCCCAAGGGAATTCACCATGTTTCTCTTTTGATGGCTTATCTACAGACCAATACCTTTCTTTAGACACCTGTACCGAGTTTCTACGCCCAGCTGTTCTCTCAAAATAGCTGTGACAAAGAATAACAGTTTCAAATTAATAAAATAGATAATATGCGTTAAAATGGCTATATATTGCACTTCTAAGTTTTAATGTACTTAATAGACACGTTATTCTATTTATAATTGGCATTCGGACATGCATGTGCCTTTATACATATTATTGTTATACTTCAAACACCATCGGTAGTGAGGTTGATATTTTTTCTTTGGTCGTCATTGGTTTGGTTTTGGTAGGCACTGGCACTAAGGCAGGCAGGCAGAGGCAATACAGGCATTCAATTCAATATGGCAGACAGAAGCTAGCTGAAGGAGGACAAAGAAAATG